AATATTATATTAGCATGGAAGGACTGGAGTGGCATCCACACTTCCATAATAGCTTGCCTCCAGAAACCCTATGAACTTGGACAGAGGATGAAAGACACCCCAAGCATCAAGGACTCTCCTTCATAGGGTCGCTATGAGTCGCCTGCAACTTGACGGCACTTAAAAACAACAACAACAATATTATATTAGTCCAAGTATACAAGTGTAACATAGTAATATATTGGTTTAATGTTATCACTTTTACCACACCACATAGTCAGGTCTGGCCTCTGTGCACTACATGGAAGGTATGCTTGTCCAAGAGTGGCCTTGACTCCAGTCAGCGTTCATCTGCTGAAGGTCAAATCTGTCCCCTCCCAGGGAGCTTTGATGGCCTCGTGGTAAAAGGACCTGCACTGCTAACCCTGAGTCACATGGTTCAAATCAGAAAGTTGCTCTCTGAGCAAAGGCAGTAATCTCTTCCCATGTGAGTTACTGCCTCTGAAAACTTGCTGGAGGGTCAGCTATGAATTGGTTCCATCTTGATGGTACACAACAACAACCGCCACCACCACCAGCAGGGGACATTGGCAATGCTGTCTGGATACAGTTATGAACGCCATATTTGGCGGGGAGGCATGTTAGTTGGTAAAGAGTGGCTCCAAGTCAGGAATTCTAGTACATACCCGACAAGAGAAAACGGGGCAGCCCCCTTCACAAAGAATCAGCTGCCTGATGTCAACAGCGCTGAGGCTGAGAGCTCTCCTCAAGTGGTACCAAGTACCCTAAAGATAAAGATTCAAACAACAAAGAATTCCTGTTCGCATCCAGAGGAGCACTTAAACGAGCCAGACATCCTTTTGAAATTTGGTAGAAGAGACTATTAATACAGTGATTCACTCGCAAGCAGCCGAGAGGTGCCAAAGACTTTAAACCTCCTGCTGATGTCCTAAAACCCTGGGCACCTGGGCCCTGGACAGCACCCCACGACCTCTAACTGAAGCTGAGGCTGCCGGCACTAGAAGCAGATCTCTGTGTCTCGTGCGTCAGAGCGGAGAGGGACACGCAGCCCAGCAGGTGCGCGCGTGTTCAGCACTCACCATCTGCTGCCCGAGAAGGGTCCCTCTCGAGCAGCCTGGAAAACCTCCCTGAAAATCCCAGAGGCCCAGCAGATAAGCCGGCTGCAGCCTGGAATTACAATTAGACGGTGGGCGCCTGGATCCATCCCACAACGCTGGCACAGGTCATTAGCCTCTATCTGAAGCTCCCAGCCAAGCCCGGATGACTGCTCTGCTCAGAGCTCCTGCGTCTCCTGGCTGCGGCCTCTGGCATGTAAAGCATTCACAGTTGCCTCCTTGAAGTGCTCGTGTAAATACGGCACACATACTGGACATTCTTAACGAGCCGGGTACTCAACCCTCTGTGGTCTCCCCACGCACTCAAGGCATAAACAGCTTGGGCCTCCAGCGTTCTTCCCCAGGTTAAGAGCACTCTCGAAGTACGGTGAACCATTTGGTAAGGACAAGTAAATGCCAGCTCCAGCAAGGGCCGAGGTGGGTACTCATGCCGTCCTCTCTGCTGGTGCTGACTAGCTGTCCCTTTCTCGTGTTGATAACACAAGTTCAGAGCCACCTGAAATAGCTAAGATGCCTGAGACAGCGAGGAAAAGAAATCTGTAATATAAAACGTCCCTTCCAAGGGAAAGAATGCAGCTAAGTAGAATACACTTCGATTCCAATATTTAAAGTCCCTGTGCCTTGAGTTATTTCAAGTTCAGTCATAAGAGCTTTACTGCCCGGGTAACCTGTTAGCAAGAAAGAGGCGCTGTGATGCCAAAGGCTCCTGGTTGGAGTCCACCAGCTGCTCTGCAGGAGGACAGGCAATCCCCTCTCCTTTGAACTTTACTCCTTCTGAAAACCCACTAGACAGCTATTGGTCAGTGCCTATACAACAGCACCTGACAATGACAACAAGAATATTCCTGGTATTTAAACTAGTATACACTTCATGTTGGAAGCAGGAGCAGCCATCCTCTTCCTAAACAACCTGCTTCTGGAAACTCTATGAACTTTGATAAATGTGGACAGTTGTAGGCAGGTTTCAGGCCTTTTGTTCATAGAGTCGCTAGGAGTCGTGCTCGATTCGAAGGCAATCAACAACAACAACAACGACGACGACAACAACAACAACAACAACGTATTTCCACTCGTATCACCGAAGATATAATGGAAATTACACTTAGATTTAAAATCATTTTGCAGCTTTCAATGTATTTTTTTAAATTTTTATTTTATTATTTTTTGTGCGTGTACCATCAAATCAGATCTGACTGGTACAGGAGGAAATTGTCCCTCCCCTTCTCTAGCAGAACATCCGGTGGATTCAAACCGTGTATCTCTGGGATTGCAGTGCAGCTTCTTGCCATTAGGCCACCAGAGCCCCCCTTCAATGTACATTTTAAAAATAGAGAATTTCATTAAAGCATTTGATCCATTAAGACAGAATAAATATTTCAACAGCTAGAAGATGTTAAGAGTCAAGGGTTGGGTTTTGAAGAGATGTATATAATTACTCTTCCCAAAAAGCTAAACATTTAGGAAATAGTCAAGCAAGCATGTTAATATAAAATCAACAAAACATATAATATCAAATTATAATCCCTCTAACACATTTATTTATAAAATTTACTCAACTACTATTGTTGTTAGGTGCTGTGGAGTCAAGTATGACCCATAGCGACCCTAGGAACAACAGATCTGAACCCTGTCCTCTCCTGTGAAACCCCCCTGGAAGGTCAGCTAAGGGTTGGTGCACAACACCACCAACATAAATATGTGCAGCCTACAAGTCTGAAGTCAGCATGAGTGGTTATCAATTTGACCCTAGTGTTTTGAAGAATGGTACCTAGAGAAAAGGCAGAGCTGAGGGGTAGATGTGTGTGTGCGCATGCGTGTTTTGAGATGGCAAGGAAAGCGGAGTGGAATAAATACTATACAGAAAGGCCTTCTATATACAACCAGGAGAACATCGATGGATGGAGACCTTCTAAAGATTATATACCTGTAATGCATTGAAAACTCTTTTCAATAAAGAGAATATTAAAATCTACTGACCGGGGAAAACAAACAAAAAAACAAAACAAAACAAATTTAACAAACTATCTCAGACCAGGGTCTCATAACCAAAGTTTATAGAATCCTACCGGGTCTCCACAATAATAATGACGACGACCAAGAGAGAGCTATGTTGGCCTAGTGGAAGGAAGCTGTGCTACCAAGCCGAAGGTGGGTGATTATCATCTGTGGCCCTCGGCCAGGTTCAAATTGTCTTCCTGTCAAACATTCTTCTAGGCGGTATAGCACTGGTCTGTGCATTGCTGTACAGCGGTAACTCGTGGTTGCTGTGATGCTGAAGCCTGTGACAGTGATGTGCCAATCGTGATAATGGGCACCCATGGTGGACAGTGTTGGCTGGAGCTTCCCAACTAAATCAAGCCTGGAAGCAGGAGTGGCATCCACTTCCAAAATGGCTTGCCTCTGGAAACTCTATGTACGGACAGTGCTCAGGCTGTTCGTTCATAGGGTCGCTATGAGTCGTCTACGACTCGACGGCATTAAACAACAACAACAAACCGGGTCTCCACAAGAAAAAGACTGATAAAATAAATGGGCAAAAGACATGAAAAGACTTCACAGAGGAAGACATTCAGATGGCCAACAGACACAGGAAGAAATACTCAAAATCATTGGCAGTAAGAGAGATGCAAATCAAAACCACAGTGAGACACCATCTCACTCCAGTAACAGTGGCAAAGTTTAACAGGACAGCATGTAATAAATGTTGGAGAGGATGTGAAGAGGCGGGAACTCTCATACACAATTGGTGGGATTGTGAAATGATACACTGGAAAGCAGTTTAGCATTTCCTCAGAAAGCTGAACATACAAACTCCATATGGCCCAGCTCTTCCACTGCGAGGAACACACCCTAAGGAAAACAGAATAGAGATCCGGACGCCAATGTTCATAGCAGTGTTATGTTATCCACCATCACAAGAACATGGAAACAGCCCAGATGTCCAACCACAATCGAGTGGAATGAGAAGTTAACAGTACATTCACACAATGGAATACTACGCAGCACTCAGGAGTAATCATTTTGTAAATCACTACCTAACTTGGGAGGGATTGAAGAGCATTATGCTGAGTGAACTAACTCAGTCCCACAAGGACAAATACTGTGTAAAAAACATTATTCTAGAATGAATACGAGGATCTAAGGGGGAGAGGGGGAGGGTGGAAGCGGAGGGGTGAGGATAGGCAGGGGGGAGGTGGAATGTTAATCATAGGGTTGGACAATCCAGTAGGTGGGTGGGGTAAAGGAAATGGGAGGGATCTTTTGTGAAAAACAATTATTTCAAACTTGGCAAATAAATCAGTATAAAATTTAGAGGGAAAGTATATTCTATTTAAAAAAAAAAAAGCAATGGATGTTAAGCCACAATGAGCCCTAGAAGTTTCTCCCCAGTCGGCCCATATTAAAGCAAATGTTGTCTGTTCTATACACACTTGGCAGAAACACGTTTACACTGTCAGAGGAACAAGGCATTAGGATTGAGTGATACAGATGTAGGAAATGATTAGTACAGCGGCTTGCATGTTCTGACTAGTCGGTAGCAATGGGCTGAGAATGACTGATGCAACCTACCAGTCTCTGCAAGTTCAAGTCCAACAGCAGTTCTGAGGGAGAAAGACGGACAGTCTGTGCCCATTCAGATTTACAGCCTGGGAGCTGAGGGACGTGCAGTGTGAGCTAGACCCCACCCATGGACAGGGAGTGTGGGACAGACTAGTTCTGCATACAGATAATTAGAATTGAAAGATAAACACAGACGTTACCATGATTCAATGCATGGATATTATGTGACACTTTTAAAAGATGATCTTCCCTAACCAGCTTCTGAGTTACAGAGCTTTAAAGGTGGGATACAAACCCAACAACAGGAAGACAAGGCTTACTTACCCCTTCTTCTTGGTGATAATGAGAACGTCGTTGAAGAGAAAGAAGTAGACTTGCTGTTTAGATGTCCTTTTGGAGAAAAGCACGGTGTCTTCCACGTAGGCCGTCAGCTCACCTCTCTTCACCAACCAGCGGGACGAGGAGACTAAAGGGAAGGGCTGCAAACAGAGAAACACTCAACAGCCAAGGTCAAGTGCCTCAACATTCTTGCCTCCAAAGAGCACTCTGGCTGCACCCTCTCCAAGACATAACTGTTTGTCCATGAGATGTTCAGTGCTCTTCTCCAACATCACAGCTAGAAGGCGTCAATTCTTTTTCTGTCATCCGTATTTACTCTCTAGCTCTCTCAGATGCATAGCAAGTAATTGGAAAGACTGTGGTCTGAATCAGATGCACCTTAGTCCTCAAACTACTATCATTACTCCTCAATAATTTGGAAAGATCCCTAACAGCAGATTTTCCCAGTACACTGCATCACCTGATTTCCTGACTGCTGGTACCAAGAGATGCAACTAAGATGAAGCTGTTGACAGTTTCAATCTCTTCTTCATCCACCACAAAGCTCCCTAACTGTTCTGTGGTAAGAATCTTTGTCTTCTTGACATTGAGATGAAATCCGTAGCGAAGGTTGTATTTCTTGATCTTCTGCAACAAGTGCTTCAAGTCCTCCTCAAGCAAAGCTGTGTTATCTGCAGAACTCAGGCTACTGATAACCCTCCTGATAGTACACTCCTCTTCATAGAGTCCTACTTCTGGGATAATCTGCTCAGTATACAAAGTGAACGGGTATGGAGAGAGGCTATAACCCTGGCTCACTCCCTTCCCAATTCCAAAACCATGCAGTGCTCCCCTGCTCCACTCACACAATAGACCTGTTTGTTCTCCTAGCAGTCCATGGAATATATTCAATACCCTTCTCCAGCACCACAGCTCAAACACATCAATTCTCCTTCTATCATCCCTAGTCATTGTCCCGCTTTCTGATGCAAAGCAAGTAATTGCAAACATGGTATGGATCCGGGCACCTTAGTCTTCAGACTGACATCGTTGCTCTTTAGTACTTTGAAGAGGTCTCTGATAGCAGACTTCTCCAATACAATTCGTCTTTTAATTTCCTGGATGTTAGTACCAAGAGTGTTGATTGTACAGCGAAGCAAACTGAAGATGTTAACAATCTCAGTCTCTTCACCATCTATCATGATGCTACCGATCGGACTGGTGGTGAGAATCTGTTTTCTTTTTTTTTTTTCTTTTTTTATTTTAATGGTTTTTTTGTACATGTACCGTCAAATCAGATCTGACCAGTACAGGAGGAGATTGTCCCTCCTTCTCCAGCAGAGCATCTGGCAGATTTGGACTGCACACCTCTGGGATTGCAGTGCAGTTACTTGCCACTAGGCCACCAGAGCTCCCTAGAGAATCTGTTTTCTTGATGTTGAGCTTCAATCCATATTGAAGGCTCCAGTCCTTGACCTTCTACAGCAAGCACTTCAGGTCTTCCTCAGATTCAGCAAGCAGGGTGCATCATCTGCAAAATGCAGATTTTTGATGAGTCTTCCTCCAATCCTGATGCCACATTTCTCCTCCTAACCTTCCGGATAATCTGTTCGGCATATAGACTGAAAAGTTATGGAGAAAGGAGACATCCTTGGTACACACTCTTCCCAATTTTGACCCATGCAGTGTTTCCTTGCTCTGTTCTGACAGCTGCCGCCTGGTCCAAGTATAAATTTTGCATAAACACAATCACGTGTTCTGGGATTCCCATTCTTCTCAGAGTCAGCCACAATTTGTTGTGATCCACACAGCCAAATGCCTTTGCATAGTCTATGAAACACAGATAGACATTCCTCTGGTACTCTCTGCTTTAAGCCAAGATCCACCTGACATTAGGTATATTATCTCTAGTACTGCATCCTCTTCTAAACCCAGCCTGTACTTCGGGCAGTTCTCTGTTGAATCCAGAAGGTTCAAATCTACCAGATGCTCCGCTGGAGAAGCTGCAATCGCCTCCTGTACCAGTCATATCTGATTCAATGGCCCACAACAAGGAAGAAGAAAAAAAAAAGTCTACATTTACCTGATCAACAAAAACACTTTATTCAAGAAAGGTGAAGAAGGGGAGAAAATAGCTACGAATTTCTTTTGTCTACTAGTTGTCTGCTTTGCTATATTCTTGAGAATATCTGTTCTTTAATTAATTTATGGTTATTTCTGAAAGCATCATGCCCTTTTCTAGCAGTGAAAAACAAGTTCTTCAGTTCTTCTAAAATTATCTGCCATGATTTCATAGGAGGAAACGTCTGCTTATTGTTGTTTTTATGTTCAGTTGAGTCACTTGCAAATCGTAGTGACCAGATACAATAGCTCTGGACCCTGCTCTGTCATGAACCAACCACATTGTCTCTGAAACACCTACTCGTTACCCTAGTCAGTGTCAACGCAACTCCTCCAGGGTCTTCCTCTCCTGCACTGTCCCTTCACTCATCCAAGGATTGGTCCCTCCTAGCAACATGCCCAAAGTATGTGAGATGGAGCTTCAAGGAGCAGCTTGATTTCACCCTCTCCAGAACAGATCTGTTTGTTCTCCTAGCAGTCCATGGTATATTCAATACTCTTCTCCAGCACCACAGCTCAAAGGCATCAATTCTTCTACTATCCTCCTTAGTCCCTGTCCAGCTCTCTGATGCATAGCAAGGAACGGTGAAGACCATGGCTTGGATTAGGAACACCCTAGTCTCCAGACTGACATTATTGCTCTTTAGTAGTCTGAAAAGGAGGTCCTTGACAGCAGCCTTTCTCACTGTAATTTGTCTTTTTATTTCCTGGCTGCTGGTACTAAGAGTTCTGACTGAAGCCAAGCAAGCTGAATCTGTTAAAAATCTCAATCTCTTCATCTAACATGATGCTGCCAACTGGGCCAGTGGTGAGGAATAAAATTCTGTTTTTCTTTATTCAGAGTTAAATACAAGACCATTTAGCATCCCCCCAACCCTTAAGATACCAGAAATGTTTAATACTAAAAATCTGATGTAAGTGAAAGTATATGTATAAATAAGCAAATTTCTTAAGATACACTAAACACAAAAAATGCCATTCTTGGACACACAAAACATTGTACAAATGGCATCTTTGTAGATAAGACTGTTTGAACGTCGCTACACGGAAGCTGGCTATACATCAGGAGGGAACCAGAGGGCTAATCACGCCTCTTGCTAAGCTCACAGCCCACAGTCATTTTCCTCACAGAGGCTCCTTTCTGAAAACACCACTCACTTTCTGGTCATGAAAATCAAGTTTTTAAAAAATGCTATTGTTGTTATGAGTCGTCGAGTCACCTGCGATTCATAGCGACCCTATGTACAACATCGCTGAACCTTGCTCTATCCTCAGCCAACACTATTGTCTCTGACACACCTACCCCCATTACCCCAGTTACTGAGTCAATCCATCTCATCGATAATCTCCCTCTCTTTTTCTGCCCCTCCACACACCCAAGCATGGTGTCTCTCTCCAAGGACTGGTCCTTCCTTACAACCTCTCTAAGTATGTCAGATGAAGCTTCAGAATCCTTGCCTCTAAGGAGCTGCCTGGTTTCACTCACTTCAGGACGAATATGTTTGTTCTCTTAGCTGACCATGGTATACTCTTCTTCACAGCTCAAAGGCATCAATTCCCCTTGTATTATCCCTAGTCATTGTCCAGCTCTCTGATGCAAATCACGTATTTGCAAAGACCATGGCACGGATCAGGTGCACCTTCATCTCCAGACTGGCATCATTAAGCTTCAGTACTTTGGAGAGGTCTCTGACCGCAGACTTTCCCAGTGCAATTCATCTTTTGATTTCCTGGCTGCTGGTCCCAAGAATGCTGACTGTGAAGCCAAGCAAACTAAAATTGTGAACAATCTCAATCTTTTCAACGTACACCCTGAGGCGTTTTTGTTTTCTTGATGTTGAGCTTCAATTCATAGTCAAGGCTACAGTATTTAACCTTATGCAGCAAGTGCTTCAAGTCCTCCTCAGTTTCAGCTAGCAAGGTTGTTGTGTCATCTGCGTAACACAGATTGTTGATGAGTCTTCCTCCAATCCTGATGTCACATTCCTCCTCACAGAGCTCAGCCTCCCTGAGAATCTCCTCCACATGTAGATTGAAAAGGTATGGTAATAGGACACATTCATGGCACCCTTACTGATTTTAAACCATGCAGTGTTTCTTGCTCTGTTCTGATGACTGACACCTGCCTGTTCCAAGTAAAGTTTTCACATAATTGCTCTGTGATTCCCATTCTTCTGAGTCATCAAAATATTACAAAAAAGACTGTGATTATGAAATTATATATATTTGTATATGAAGACATACGATTCCACATGTTTTTTACATAAAGGAAGCTTCTAGGAGCCAGACGTTGCTCAGTTACATACTATTTTTCTGAAGGTTTCAGAAGAAAGGTGAAAGATTTTGGCTTGATTCTATTAAGTTTTTGAAACTGTCTATTAAGCTAGTTCATAGTGTTTCCAGTTCCAAAATCTGGGATAGATGTTTCTCTGTTGAAGATGCCTGAGACACAAAAGGCCACTGGACTCAGATGGTTTAGGGAACTCTGTGGACCCCAGGATCACATACAAGAGGGCAACTGGGGGGGGGTCCCAGGGCAAGGGAGAGCCAAGGGGCATCCTGTATGGAACATAACCCTCCAGGGTGAGCCATAATTTAAAAAATAAAAATAAAATTAAAAAAAAAATAAAGGGAGGAATGGTTGGGGTTTTTACGTTGTTAATGTTGTCTTATAACTGACTTATTTTCATGGACGTCTCATTCCTCCACTGTGCAAAAGGAAATTTCTAACAGACCACTTAAAAATTGTCCGTGGCTTTCAAACTCTCTAGTGTTTCTTTTGAAAAGAAAAATCTGGTATCATAAAATTTTTGTTCCAGAAACTTATCGTTAGAAGACTAAAATCATTCTGACTTTCCTTCCAAGTGTAAATCAAACACTAGACATTTTATGAGCAAAAATGAAATCCAAGCAGGGCTGAACTAATTTCTGTAGAGAAGAGACTTTGATTCTCTCTTATGTTCCTTGGCATCCCAGCAGACAGACGTGTTTATGGGCAGCAAGACTCTCTGTTCAAAAAGCAGACACTTCAAGGATCCTGGAGTTCCTCCTTTCGCCGGCCCTGTCCTGGGATTCTCTTCGTTGGCAAGGCACAAGCATCAGTCAGCAACCAGTACACGACTTCCTCGCGGGATCATTCTGAATCCACGGCACTTTTGATTTTAACAGCTGAGAGGCGTATAATTATTTGGATATTTATTGATAAATTTGTAGGTCGTTTCTGATCATTAACACAGATAATGTTCTGAAACTGTAACTCTGCATGCATTTATTTATACATTCTTGAGTACTTCAAGGTTATGAACAAAACCAACAATTAATTAATGGACAAAGCCAAAGAAAATAATTTATGGATCTCACAGTGTGCAGAGTCTCAGTAACTCGAATTTGTAGTTTGGATAGTTATTCCTAAATTTTCCACCACAAAATCATCTTTTCACCAACAACATACAAAAGTGCCTTTTCCCCTCAATAAAACTTGTTATCAAACTTCTGCATTATCATGAAATTCAGAGGTGAAATTAATTTTTACTTTCAAGTAACAATTTTCTTTTAAATAATTTAGAACTGTTTTTTTTTATGGTGAGAAAAATTTATATTTAGAATTAGCCTGCTGGACTCAGTTTAGATGATCCCAATTTTGTTGGCAACATCCAAAGCATCATAATCTGGAGCAAGTGGAACATAGGCCTTCTTCTCTCCATCAGGCCTAATCAAAGTGTTGACCTTAGCCACATCAATGTCATAGAGCTTCTTTACAGCTTGTTTAATTTGGTGCTTGTTGGCCTTGACATCCACAATGAACACAAGTGTGTTGTTATCTACTATCTTCTTCATGGCTGACTCAGTGGTCAGGGGAAACTTGATGATGGCATAGTGGTCAAGCTTGTGTCTCCTGGGGACGCTCTTCCGGGGGTAGTTGGGCTGCCTTCAGAGTCTCAGCATCTTAGGCCATTGGAAGGTGGGTGATATGCGGATCTTCTTTTTTTTTTGGCTGTGGACGCCCTTCAGGACGCCTTCTTGGCCTTTAATGCCTTTGCTTTGGCTTCAGTTTTGGAAGGGGCAGGGGCTTCCTTCTTGGCTTTCGGCACCATCTTCATAGAAAAGTAGAACTGCTTTTTAAATAAACTTTTCTAAATGTTGGAGCCATTTGTATTTCCCTTCTGTTCACCCATTTTTTAATTTCCTATCTCTTCAAGAGGTTTCTTTCCATCTTTTTCTTACAATTTTCCTTTTATATATAGGGGATATATCAACCCTGTGTTAACTTGTATGTTACAAATATATTTCTATAGTTGGCTTTTGAATTTCTCACTTTAACTACACCTCCCCCTTTAGAGAAGTTAAGAAATCTTACATAGATGACACTTATCAGTTTTTCTTTCAGTGACATATGCATTGAGAAGAAGTCACTGAAGATCTGACTGTACTGCTTTTCAGACGGCTCCTCTTCCCCTTCCCCCCCCCCTCCTCCTCCACACAGGCCCCTGCACATTCACACTCCCCTTTCTGCTCATGGACTGGACCAGGATCTGACCAGCACAGACACATATTCAAGAAAGAATGAAGGGAGAGACACGAAAACAAACTCCCATTAAATAATGGGAAGAACTGTCTTCTTCTTTGGGCTAAAAGAACACTGTGGTCCAACACATGGGCTACCACTGTTTTGCAAAAACCTTTGAGGCGTACTAAAGAAATAGCCAATGAGCTCCTTTCAATTCTAAAATTTTACTATCTTAACTCTCCATTTGCTCAAGCCTGACGTCTTCGGGATCAGGGGGAGGAGGGACTGTGTGTTTTATTCATGGCCTTAAAAAAGGTTACTCTGACCTGGGTAGAAGAGAACTGAAGTATCTGCCCAGGTCTGACAGCTTCTTACGTCAATTTATGGCCTTTCTTTGAAAAGCAAATTTGGCCTCACCTATCTCTCCTTCTCCACAGAAGATGTAAGCACTGGTATCCAAGAAACTATTTTATGAAGAGGTGCACAGATACCTTAATCTTAAATTCCAGCTGCGAATTAATTGTGTACAACATCTCTGTCCTTTCCATCTTCCGGGCGCCTTCATTACACAGTCGAACCAACTGGGAACACAGAAGAAAGAGGACTGTTAATCATTCAAGGAGAGTGACCTCACTTTATTATTATTATTATTATTTAAATGAAAATTTACAGAGACCTAGGGTTTCCAGTCATTCATTGTTGCACTTTTCTCCCTGACCACCCCTCCCCCACCCCCAATTCACTTTTCTCCTTGATGAGTAAGAGAAAAACTCTTTCATTGTTATGCAATCCCTCTCACAGTTCACTGCGCTGTGTAGCCTTCACTCAAGACTTCTGCAATGACAAGAATACCCATTCATATGTCTCTTTTAAACAGTTCTCTCCCTCATCTGCTGCAATGCAGTATATATCATTCCTCTACTTCTCTGTTTTCCGTCAACCTCAATGTCAGTCCTGTTTTACAATAATAGCCCTGTGCAATGTTTGTCCTTTTGTGACTGAGATATTTCACTCAGCATAATGTCCTCTAGTGTCATCCACTTAGCATAGTATTTCATGGGTTCCCTGCTTTTCAGTGCTGCATAGTACTCCACTATGTGAATAAACAGAGCTTCTCTATCCATTTGTTTGCTGGGTTATGAGAATAACCTCACTTTCAAATGCAAATCTCTCCTGGGAAATACTTAGCTTGTGGGGACCTAAAGAGTTTTGCAAAGGGAGCTCTGGTGGCCTAGTGGCAAGAAGCTGCAATGCAATCCCAGAGGTACATGGTTCAAATCCACCAGATGCTCTGCTGGAGAAGGAGGAGCAATATCCTCCTGTACCAGTCAGATCTGATTTGACGGTACACGTAAAAATAATACAATAAAAAGTTAAAAAAGGGTGTTTTTTTTTAAAAAAAAAAAAAAGAGTTTTGCAGTTGAGACACACTGTATCCAGTTAGAAGTGGTGTAATTAGAGAAGTGAAGACAGAAAGAATGTCCTAAAACATTGTAAAGATCCATGTGCTGTGTGTCCCCCTTTTCATTTATATTTCTATTGGTTTCCATACAAGCGTTTATATACACTGCATTTCATATATGTATATTCTGTTTTATACAATCTTTATATTGTGTTTCATATAATCATTCGTGTACACTGTATTTTAGATAATTAATCACTGTTGATCTAAGCCTATTATCACCCCATCTTTTCAAGTCCCCACTGAATCATTCACATCATCCCCTTTTCCTAACGACATTGTGCTTTCTGCTTCTTTTCTCTGCTCCTCCTTCCTCACTTAACCCAGGGCATCTCCCCTGCTTCAGAGCAGACAGCACCCCTTTCTCATTCCACATCAGGACAGCTTAGGGGCAGACTACAAATCTACAAACATCAAAGGCAAATTCTAAGCAGAGAGACGCAGAGCAGCTGATTTGCAAACAGCCTAGAGGGAGGAGAGCCCAAGTGAAGACTGATGGTCTCTGCAAAGAGGTTCAAATCCCAAAGCCAAATCCAATGTGATCCAGCAGGTTCAGGGCGGCTCCCCCAAGTGCTGCCAAGGCTGTAAACTTTTAACGGGAGCAAACTGCATTGTCAGCCCCCAGAGGAGCTGGTCATGGATTCACACTGGCAACAGTTTAACTCTCAACCTAACATATAAGTCATTATGCTACCAAAAAGCATCAAACTAAGATAAATTCTCTTAAATGGATGCTCTAAAAGACGTACTGATCAAATGGTATTCAGTCCTTTGCTGGGTGCCTAATACATACTGACTTCACTGATCTAAATCAAAACTAACTTTATCTTATTTTCTTATTAGGTAGGAAAAGTGTGTTGTTATGTTTTTTAAAAATCCATACAAAGATAGCAAATTAAAATTAGTTGTTAAAAATAAAGGCTATAAATTTGAATAGATTTCTTTTTACTTCTATTTTGTCAAGTAATTACTGTATGCCTGTTGTTGTTGTTGTTGTTGTTGTTGAAGTGCTGTCAAGTTGTAGGCGACTCATAACCTATGCATTTAATGTATGCCTTCTATGAAAAAACCAGTAATAGAGAAGTAAATCAAACAGGCTTAAAAGATGCTGACCTAATCCTGTTCCCCAGAAGTAGCTGTTAACAGGTTGGATTATACACACTTTCTTTTTCTGTTGAGAAGCTTATATGGACATATAAACTCACACGTGTAGGAAATTTTCCTTTCTGAAAATAGATGATTTTATGTTTGACCATGACCGGGTAATTGCCATGTTATCAGTGCTTCCTTTATTATGAACACACCACTCGTTGAAAAGAAACCGCTGCTGCATGCCAGATGGGAGAGCTCTGGTCTGCAAAGAGCTGCCCTGCTAACCTCTGGGGGTTCAAATCCACCAGCCGGCAGCCTACCCTCATGAGAGTTACAGGTTTGGGAACCTGGCGGCTAGAGGGACGTCGAACTCAACAGACAGCAGTAAGTCGGAATTTTTGGTTTTTTACGTCAGGTGCTGGGGTCCCTGGGTAGCACAAATGGTTAGGCTCTGGGCTCCTAAATGAAGGTGGGTGTTTCACTCTCCCACTGTAGCACCCAGGCCTTCAGGGAGCCCTATCCTCCTTAAGGGTGAGAGCCAGGGTCTGTGCACGCAAGGCTGCCAGGAGTCTGCAACCTGTTCTAACTGCAAAGACAAGGCACTGGAAAGTATTAAGATTCAATTTATGCTAACTTTGAACGGCTAGTTAAAGGTCTGATAAATTCACAGACAAATTCTGTGTTGCTCCGCAATTCCATTTTCTTCTCTTTCAGCTTTAGAAACGCCGCAGGGTGTGTTCCTCCTGTGTGATTTTCAAATCCAACGCGTTGCACATCATATTGTAATTCTTTGCTTTGTCTTCTAAAGCTGCTTTTTGAAATCTGCTCTGCTCTCCTGTCAACAGCATTCTTTCCCCTCTTTCTGGCTTCTTCTCATTATAATGTGAGTTTCAGAGACTTCTGACATTCATTTTATTCTTTCTTTCTCTCCTGTGTTTGTAATGTTTTGCTTTGCTTTCTTATGAATGATGTCTTTCCACAACTTGTCTACAATTGGATACAGTACAAGATCCAATACACAGTAGTGTGATTCCCCACTGAAACATCATTTTCTCTTCTTTTTTTTTTTGTTTTAAAATACAAAGATATAATGTGAATATTTGTAAAAGTTTTACATGTTTTTTTTATCAAATGACATTCATACTTTAACTTTCCTATCTCAAAGTGGCTTAAAAAAAGGCTGAGCCAATTTTTACATTTGACAGAAACATCTCTTGCTACTGTCGTGTGCCATCAAGTCAGAACTGACCCATAGTTCCCTCTCCAGTGGGTTTTCAGAGGCTGAAAACACAGAAGAGTAGACTGCCCACTCTTCTCCAATGGAGCAGCTGGTGAATTCAAACTACGTGCCTTTGAAATTGCAACACAGTTTCTTACCACTAGGCCACCAGAGCTCCCTCTTATAGAATTGTTTGAAAATGCTCAATTCTCCACTCTTTTGTCACCTGCAGCTGTCATCCATATTTTAACTACATTTACAATAAGAAAAAAGTACAAATGTTTATTTAAAAACTAATGAGCCTGGAAAAAACCCTTTTTTATATTTTACACTAACATAATCCTTACGAGTGACCTCAACTATATAAAGAAGAGAGAGAGAAAAGTCTCTTACATAAATGTACTGATACTGCAGCCCTTTATAAAAGGAGATTTGAATAATATTTATTGGGAACAAGGTGCCTACGTGATGACAACAGCTTTATATCTAAGAGAGTAGGATAACAGGAGATATTCAAAACAACATAAAATGTTATGGGAAAAGATTAAAAGAACCTTAATGATTTTGCCTATAGGGAGAAGATTATAACTTAGTATTATCCTCAAATGTCAAAGAGACTGTCATGAGGTAAGAGTTTATTCTATTTTCCAGAAAGGAAAAAGCAGCAAATATTTCTTCTGGGCATAAGACACTGTCCCCTGACTGACACTCCTTCCCCATTAGATAACACATTAATCTAACACAAACTCAGATTCTCTGGAAATGTCCCTTCTCCTTCCTCTTCCCAGCTTCCAAGTAAAAAGAAAAGGAGGAATTAAACTCACTCTCATTTTTTTTTAAATCCATCTTTTGTTCAAATAGCTGTTCAAGCCAGGAAGTCTTTTTTAAGATTACCAAACTAATAAATTGCCACTGTCATTTCAATAACATTACTGCTGAAAAAATTCTGCTGCAGTATTATTCATAGTCTGTAAAAAAATGCATTAGGGTTTTAATTTTTATTAAAGAATAAGAATTATCCTCTCTTCTCTCCCATCCCCTGAACTGAGCATGAGTAACAAGCTAAGAAGACATACCCAGGGCCTGTGATCAACTTGGGCATTCACATACTAAATTTAAGCCCTTAAAAAAATTTCACAGGAGGAAAAATTGCCCATCCTTCTGCAGAGCACCTGGTGGTTTCAAACCACATGTCTTTGGGATGGTGGCACAGCTCCTTAATATTAGGCCAAAATAAAGATGCTGTTGTTGTTGTTGTTGTTGTTGTTGTTATGTGCCATGGAGTCACCTGTGACTCATAGCAACCCTATGTAGAACAGCCCTAAACCCTGTTCTATCCTGTGCCAATCTCACTGTCTCTGACACTCCTACCCCCACTACCTCAGTCACTGAGTCAATCCACCTCATAGGGGGTCTTCTTCGCCTGCGCCTGCCCTCCACCTTCCCAAGCATGACGTCCATCTCCAAGGACTGGTCCGTCCTTGCAACATGTCCAAAGTATGTCAGATGAAGCCTCAGAATCCTTGCCTCCAAGGAGCAGCCAGGTTGAACCTGTTTGTTCTGTTAGCAGCCCATGGTATATTCAATACTCTTCTCCAGCACCACAGCTCAAAGGCTCTCCTTCTATCCTCCCTAGTCATTGTCCAAATCTCTGATGCTTAGCAAGTGATTGAAAAGACCATGGCCTGTATCAGGCACACTTTAGTCTCCAAAGTGACATCATTGCTCTTCAGTACTTTGGAGAGATCTCAATACGTCTTCTGATTTCCTGGCTGCTGGTACCAAGAGTGTTGACTGTGGAGCCAAGC